AAGCAATTCTCCTGCCTCCACCTCCCAAAGCACTGGGACTACAGGCATGAGCCACCATGCCCGGCTAATTTTTGCTATTTTTAGTTGCTTAGCTAATTTCTGTCTATTTTTAGTAGAGATGGGGTCTCGCTATATTGCCCAGGCTGGCCTCGAACTCCTGACCTCGAGCGATCCTCCCGCCTCAGCCTCCCAGAGTGCTGGGATTACAGGCGTGAGCCACCGCGCCTGGCCATCAGCCTCTTCATTCTTGATGCCTGAGGTTTTCTGCCGAGGCAGCCTCTACCCGGAGCCAGGACCGGCCCCCAAGCCCCTTCGCCCACCGGCCCTGGGCTCCAGGTCCCTTGACCGGGGGATGTTTCCCGCATCTCTGCCCCGAGCCCCCTAAAACTCCACCCTAGGCTGACCCGGGCGAGGGCAGGCGCTAACGTGGGAACTGACAGAGCCCGCCCCCCGCCACCTGCAGGTCCAGCCACCGAGGAGGGTCCCCGCTCCCTGCCACCCTGCGTCACCAAACAGGCGCCGGGTCCCCTTTGCTTGCCAGCGGCTTGGAAACAACAAATCGAGCAGCAGCTAAGCCCAGAGCCGTCTGCAGAGCCCCTGGGGTTGGGCCGGAGCTCGGCTCCCCCCGCAAAACCGCGTCACCCCAGCGGCCACTTGGCCGCCCCGTGAAGGACGACACCTCCCGCTGCAGCTCCCGACACACGCTGGTTTCGATTCAACCTGATGTTTCTGAGATGATGAAATTAAAAAGACAGAATTGTATCAACTGCCTGACAGCGAACGCCTCCGGGCCGTTCCGGGATCAAAATCTGTCTTGTCACGTGCAAATTAGACCCTGTCACCAGAAAAGTCCCCGACGCTCCTCTCCGTCCTGGGAAGACCGGAGCGAGCAGCGCCAGGCTGACGGGTCCTGGGCCGGGGGACGGGAGGAGGAGGATTATCAATTGAGGACGGCCGAGCTCCCCGGAGCCCCCGCAGCAAGACCCCAAGGAACGGAGGTGGGGGTTTCGGCCCTCGGATTACAGACGGGAGTCAGCAGCCCAGACTGCGCAACGACGGGGTCCCCACATGCCGCCCGCTGGAGCCCGGGACGCACGGGAGGCCCCGTCTCCTGGACGCCTCCCCGCTGCCCCCCAGGTCGGTCTGTCCTGATCTGAGACGGGGTCTCGCTCTGCTGCCCCGGCTGGAGGGCAGCGGCGTCACCGCAGCTCACGGCAGCCTCCAACTCCCGGCCTCAGCGATCCTCCTGTCTCGGCCTCCCCAGTGGCTGGGACCACAGACGCAAGACGCCGCGCCCGGCTGATGTTTCTACTTTCAGCGAACTGTCCGGTGCTGGACGGGTCGCAGCGACACCTTCGGGCCACCCCCGGCCCCGTCTACTACGTTTTGCCGGCTGTGAGTCGTCTCCCGTCCCAGCTCTCAGGGGGACCAAGAGTGGCACGGACGGCGCGTAAACAGAGCCGGCGGGCGGGACGCGAGGACCCGACCCTCGTTCCGGGCCAGGCACGAGCACTCCGGGCTGCGGCCCCGACGGCCTCTCCTGGAGGCCAAGCGCCCACCCCCCGGACGGGTAAACTGCCACAGAAGACCTTCTACCACATTCCAAAAGCCGCCCGTAAGGAACGCTACGTTTCCCGCCGAGGCCTGCTCAGAGAGGACAGCGCCCCACTTCCAGAAACATCCTCGGGTGCAGGGAAACCGAGGCAGCCTCCAAAGCGAGAATCAAAACAGGGTCAGAACTACCCACCGGCTGCGCGACTTGAGTCTCTACTTTCCCATCTGTAAAACGGGGGCGGCTCTCCCGTCGCCGACGCCAGCCGGCCCGGGGTGGGGTTGAGAAGTCGAGGGGTCGTCTTATTTACGGAAAACCGCCCCCGGGGGGGGGAGGCTCAGGCCCCGGTCCCCTCCCTCGGGGGACGCGCTCGCTCCCTGCCACCCCCTCCCTCGTCTGTTCGGGACCCGGTGATCACGTGCTTGGAGATGAAGCCTTTTCAAAAACAGCTTTGCCACGACTTTCAGCTGGGAACGTGCATGAGAAACAGATATTTTTATCCGAGGGTTTGTTTTTTTCCCCCCTGTCTCCTCCTTCCAGCAACGGGCAATTATGCGCTTTTCCCTCCAGACCTGCAGGGACGCGGCTCAGCGGGGAACTCGGTTCGTTCGGTTCTGCGGCGGTGCCGGCGGGCGGGGGGGGCTGCGTTTTTATTTTGTTTCTCCAGAAATCATTGCTCCTTTGCCCTCGTTGTCCCCCCTTCTCCGGGGCCCCGGGGTTCTCGGGCTCCCACAAAGGGAAGAGGAAGACGGCTGCTTGCCAGGGTCCCGCCTACGCGGGTGGCAGGAAAGGGCCCGGGGGGGGGCCCGGCAGGGCCTCGCGACCCCGCGTCACGCCCGGCGGCCTGAGCCTCGCAGGGGGGAGCCCTCGGCATCCGGGAGGGGGACCCTGGAACACGGATGTCCCCAAAGCCGAGCAGCCCCCCCCCCCCTCGGGGCCCCGGCGTGGGACTCTGACTTCAAATCCGCTGCCGGCCGGATCTGGGACAAGCCACCTCCCTCCGAGCCTCGGGTGTCCCCCTCTGCAAAGTGGGGTGCCGGGGCCGCCCCGCAGGCTGGTGGGAGGGACGCGGGGGTTTTGGGGGGCGCAGAATCCAGGGGGCCCCGGAGTTCTCCCCCCGCCCCACCCCGCTGCGCTCACGGACGGTCCCCGGGTGGGTCGCGCTTTGTCCGAGCGAGCGCGTCGAATCCGCGCCGCTGCGGAGGGGCCGGGATCGCCGTTCCCACTGTACAGAGGGGGAGACTGAGGCACAGAGACATCCCGTGGCAAGGGCAGGGCCAGGACCGGAACACGGGCCTTGCCCTGAGGACTTGGAAATTATTCCCGCTTCGACGGAGGGGTCAGGGCCAGCCCGGCGACGGCACGTGTTGGAGGGAGACGAGAACAAACGCGTCGACAGATGAAAAGATTCACAGCCGGATCCGCCCGGTGCTGAGGATCGCAGACGAAAAGAATTTTAAAAATACGCGGGTCCTTCCCCGGGCCGGGCGGGGTCCGAGCGCTTTCCGTGCGGCAACTCAGTTACTCCTCTCGAGAACCGCAGGAGGGAGGCGCCCCGATGCGCCCATTCTACAGGTCGGGAGACTGAGGCCCAGAGAGGCCACTCGGCTGGTGGCCCGCGGAGCACCCCGGGACCCGGGTCTCCGACCCCGCAGCAGAGCACGGCCGTAACCACGGGGTCCGTTTTCTCCCTCCAACCAGGAGGGCCGCAGACCCTGAAGGAGAGGTCAGGCCCCCGCAAGCAGGGGTCACCTGGGCCGGCGGGAGCCACAGAGTCACCCGCAGAGGCTGCCGGCCCCACGACCCTCCTGCCGCACCGCGTGGCAGGCCCGGGCCTCCCCGACCGCCACCCCCTTCACTAGCTCCACCCCACACTCACGCCCTCCCCAGGGCCTTTGCACTGGCTGTTCCCTCCGCCCGGAACACTGTTCCCCGCACACCCACGGAAACCCACGCCCAACCGTCTCCTGCTCACTGCCGCGCGGGACGCAGAGCGCGTCACCTGGCACACGGCGTGCGCTCAGCAAGCGTTCTTGCAAATTCGGTTTCCACTCGCGGATGAGGAGAGCGGGGGTCAAAGGGGTAGAATGAGTCGCTTCGGTCCAGGGACAGGAAGAGGCAGAGGCGGGGTTCAAACCCTGGCCCCCCGGGCTCCAGGCTCCGGCTGCCGACGCCTGAGCGTGTGGGTTCCGCGCCTGCCCCCGCCGCAGGCCCTGGGCACAAAGGCGTCTTTGTGGCGGAGAGTCGGGG